TGATAGAGATGTTAGAGATGATAGAGATGATAGAGATGTTAGAGATGTTAGCGATGATAGAGATGATAGAGATGATAGAGATGTTAGAGATGATAGAGATGATAGAAATGATAGAGATGTTAGAGATGTTATAGATGTTAAATATGTTAGAGATGATAGAGATGTTAGAGATGTTAGAGATGATAGAGACGATAGAGATGTTAGAGATGATAGAGATGATAGAGATGTTAGAGATGTTAGAGATGATAGAGATGTTAGAGATGTTAGAGATGATAGAGATGATAGAGATGATAGAGATGATAGAGATGATAGAGATGTTAGAGATGTTAGAGATGATAGAGATGTTAGAGATGTTAGAGATGATAGAGATGTTAGAGATGTTAGAGATGTTATAGATGATAGAGATGTTAGAGATGATAGAGATGTTAAATATGTTAGAGATGATAGAGATGTTAGAGATGTTAGAGATGATAGAGACGATAGAGATGTTAGAGATGATAGAGATGATAGAGATGTTAGAGATGATAGAGATGTTAGAGATGTTAGAGATGATAGAGATGATAGAGATGATAGAGATGTTAGAGATGATAGAGATGTTATAGATGATAGAGATGTTAGAGATGATAGAGATGTTAGAGATGATAGAGATGATAGAGATGTTAGAGATGATAGAGATGTTAGAGATGATAGAGATGATAGAGATGATAGAGATGTTAGAGATGATAGAGATGTTAGAGATGATAGAGATGTTAGAGATGTTAGAGATGATAGAGACGATAGAGATGTTAGAGATGATAGAGATGATAGAGATGTTAGAGATGATAGAGATGTTAGAGATGTTAGAGATGATAGAGATGATAGAGATGATAGAGATGTTAGAGATGATAGAGATGTTATAGATGATAGAGATGTTAGAGATGATAGAGATGTTAGAGATGATAGAGATGATAGAGATGTTAGAGATGATAGAGATGTTAGAGATGTTAGAGATGATAGAGATGATAGAGATGATAGAGATGTTAGAGATGATAGAGATGTTATAGATGATAGAGATGTTAGAGATGATAGAGATGTTATAGATGATAGAGATGTTAGAGATGTTATAGATGATAGAGATGATAGAGATGTTAGAGATGTTATAGATGATAGAGATGTTAGAGATGTTATAGATGATAGAGATGTTAGAGATGTTAGAGATGTTAGAGATGTTAGAGATGTTATAGATGATAGAGATGTTAGAGATGTTATAGATGATAGAGATGTTAGAGATGTTATAGATGATAGAGATGTTAGAGATGTTAGAGATGTTAGAGATGATAGAGATGTTATAGATGATAGAGATGTTAGAGATGATAGAGATGATAGAGATGATAGAGATGTTAGAGATGATAGAGATGTTATAGATGATAGAGATGTTAGAGATGATAGAGATGTTATAGATGATAGAGATGTTAGAGATGTTAGAGATGATAGAGATGTTAGAGATGTTAGAGATGTACAACACCCAGACCTCAGGTACAACAACAGTGAGAGACTTGTCCCCCACCCGAAGGCGGAGGGACGCACGTGTGCGCGGACTGGGTCGCCGAGGTCTAAGCCTTTGACCGCTGCCCAGTCCTCTCTGCACCAATGCCCCATGGATCCCTCTGCAGGTGGTGGGCCCACAGGAGGGCTGGTCGGGCCGTGGGCTAAGGCCCGGCCACCAGACGCTCGCCTCTGAGCCCCAACCCCAGGCCTGGCTCCAGGGTGGGGCCCCGGCTGTGCCATGCCGGGCGACGTCACAGGTTTTGGCATCTTTTCTTAGATGTTCATTAATGTCGGGGTTCAGGCTTTGAGCTGAGGCTTCATTATGGAACAAAGGTGTTCCTCAGATGTATTCTGTTAAACGTCATGTTCATTGAGGAGAAAAGTTGCTCACATAGATAAATGAAGCTTAAGCAGAGGTTAATGAGAAAGGCTAGTCCACGCCTTTCTCATGTCATATTCAACTCATCAACCCCCTGTCAGCCATGTCAATCAAGCCAGCGTTTAAAAGCAAAGCAAAGCAGAGCACAGCTCATCAAACGGACTTTCAAGCTGCAACCACCTCCTCCTCAGGATTTCTTCACTCTCACATTCACCTTTCCTTGTTGCCACTACCAGTGTCTAGGCCCCGGGGATCATGATCTGCCCCAGGCGCAGATCTCTTCAGAGCACGGGTACAGCCGGGGCCTAAGCTCCAAACCAATAAACAAACTCAATCCATAAAATAAAGAAAAAGCAAAAGTACGAAAGTGTCCTAACACAATTACGCAGACGACACTCAGATCTATGTCTCACTGACTGCAGGAGAACATGGACCAGTGGACTCACTCCTTCACTGTATCCAACAGATCAGTGAGTGGATGCAAAACAACTTCCTTCAGCTAAACGCAGACAAAACTGAAATGATTGTCTTTGGTCCCCAGAAACAAAGAGAGGCCGTCATTTATCACCTTCAGAAATATGGGGCTAATAGTGGACTCGGACTTAAACTTCAAAAGCCACATTGGATCGGTGCAACTTTTTACCATCTGAAAAATATTGCCAAAATTAAAAATATTGTGTCCAAAGCAGATCTGGAGATTCTTCTCCATTATTTTGTCTCTAGTAGGTTAGACTACTGCAATGGCCTGCTCACAGGTCTGTCCAAACAGGCTGTAAAACAGCTGCAGTACA